ATTTAATAGATTAGCATTACGAGAAAATCAGATGGTAACAATCCGAAAAAATAACAAATTTCGCTGTTATATGTTACAGCCGTAGAAAAACTATAGTGTATAACTTGTACGAAATGATAATTCCCTACTTTTATGATTTTGCATTAATCTCGTGGAGAATGACTATCATTCCGTGCTCGTTAAACAATATACTATTTGAGTGTCTCGTGATCTTTTGAACGTATTGCAGTTCACCCAACATATATCACTGATATTATCACGAAGGGGGGCCTATTTCGATAATTTCAAATAGAGATTTGATCAGAAAGTAATATTCATTCTGGTTGTATCACTAGCATTCATGTTTTCACAATAAGGTAGATGAATCAATATAAAATGATTAAACAGATTTTTCGAATTCCAAAAATTGTGGTTTATATAGGTACTGTACTGACAAATATGTTCTATTCGAGAAAAAATAGATATACTACACCTTAATAAAGTTTTCATTATTGATAAAATCGTTCTTGATTGCAATGTATCACAAATACTGAAGCGACAATTTCAATTCGATCAAATAATGGGTAGTAATTGATTAATACATACTAACCACCATTTAGAAGTCGAAATATTCCACAGAAATTTGAATAATTTCCGGTAATAATGATCAGTTTGAGAAATCGTAACACATTGCCCTTGAGAAGAGAATGGCTAAAAACCGCTTTGTACGGTCAAGACAAGTTCCACTACCACTCTACCACAGAAATCATATTTAAAGACGATTTTGCGTTCACATCTTCACTTCGTTTCAACGCCGCTTGAAATATTATCACTGTATCATCATGAGTAGTTCCGAATCCATGTCGCTTGAAGAGATGGCTGAGATGAACTGTGACAGGAGTATTAACGAGATCATCCACATATTGGATGATAGCGTATTACAAGAAGCTTCCTCGCAGCCAAGGACAACGACGACCCCGGCCACTCCTGCACAGTTCACCACAACCAGCCAATCTGCCATGTTCACCGCGACCACCCAACCGGCTTACTACACCACGACCACCCAGCCAGCTGTCATATCCATGGCAACCCAACCAGCTGTGGCAACCACCAGACCCAACGCCACCCAGCCAGCTGTCACCCAGCCCATTTCCACCAGAGGCAACACCACCAAGAGGGTTGCAAGACCCAGCGACGTCCATGGAGATCTGGATACTGATATGGATATGATTCTCCGGGGTTGCGTCGCAAACCAGAAGGAGGAAATGGAACGGGATGCAGCGGACTGGCGAAAGGGAGTACTCACAAATGCTACAGGTAGGCTGACTATCCTGAAGGGTCAGCGTATGAAAATGTCAAAACGGATAGCCAACTTCAAGAATTTTGTGAGCCTCCTGGTTGAGGATATGGGTCGGGTGGACGTGGATATCAAAAACATAGAAAGTTTGGTTAAGTTGCTTAAATAAATATTTATTCATTACCACTACTATTTTTATTCCATTCAAAAAATACCTATTTGAAAAACTTTGTGAGTCGAAAGATAATAAATGTGAGAGCATCTCACATTAGCTATATATTACTTATTTTTTATTCTTCATGAAAATTCAGTTAAATAGTCTATCCAATTTACTGATGGTCGTTTGGAAATTATGAGCCTGCGGCGATCTGCGGACCAGGCCATTGAATTTACATTTCAATTAGCCTAGCTCGAGAAGACTTCTGTATAATGTCTTGGGTATTTATTAGAATTCAAATGATGCAAAACATATTGCCAGTCATATTTCTTTACATCGACCAGTAGCGTTATTTGTTAAGCGTTACTTATTTGTTATAATTATTGATATTTGCTTCGTAATCTCGTTATAATTATTATTATTATTATTGTCATTATTGTTATTATTATAATTATTATCATTATTAATATTATCCTTATTTTAATTATCATTACACTATTAGTCGCGAAAGAATTAATCTAGGAAATATGTTTTGGATTCAGGACCTTGAATCAAGTCGACACTTTCGTTCTATACAATATAGTCTATGCGCACTCGAAGAATTGTAAACTAGGAACGGTCCATGTCGCCTTGATAACCCAACATACGTTCTGTATCGTCTCTTATACTTAAATCTCTGTAGTCTCTGTCGGTGAGATGTATTGATATGATTTTCTTTTTCATAATGAGTTATGAAATATATTTTCGTAAGTACTGGTAAGGTGTTCCATATCGAGTTGTTAGAATAATCTTTAATAATACTCAAATAAATTTCAATAGATTTTATTGAAGATATCTAGCAAAATATTCATAGATAATAGTGTGCACAAAACATGTAATAAATTTACTTTGAAATGCACTGAACCCACACAGCAATCTTTTGGTTCTTCATTCTTCGAAAGGTTTGCCTCATCTTCTGACTTGTATAAAATATCCTTTATTAGATTAGCATACGGACAAATCTTTGAATACTTCAAGTGGTCCTCAATAGGAATATCTCCATGATTCCACATGTGTATTTCAACCCCACATTGAAAACATTCCACAACATCATCCTTTCCTTTGAAATAAAATCCTGCTTTAGCCAGTTCTATAGGTTGTTGATTTCCGGTCCAATTTTTGTATGACAGTAGCCGCTTATCGAATGAATTATACCAAGATCTTGGGATAGAAAAATCTTCGATACACATTCTCAGTACTGTTGATACGTTCGAAGTCAATATGACTAGTATCAATGTATAACTGATGGAAAAATTGAATTTGTTGTTATAACTATGTCTTGGAAATGGGGGGTGCGTTACAGAACTCCCATAGCAAGTTGGGTGTGGGGTGCTGTCACAGAACTCTCATAGCAGGCTGTGTTACAGAACACTCATAGCAGGTTGGGTGTGGGGTGCTGTTACAGAACTCTCATAGCAGGCAGTGTTACAGAACTCTCATAGCAGATTGGGTGGGGTAGGAGGTGCTGTTACAGAACTCTCATAGCAGGCAGTGTTACAGAACTCTCATAGCAGGTTGGGTGGGGTAGGAGGTGCTGTTACAGAACTCTCATAGCAGGCAGTGTTACAGAACTCTCATAGCAGGTTGGGTGAGGGGTGCCGTTACAGAACTCTCATAGGGGGTTGGGTGGGGGGTGCCGTTACAAAACTCTCATAGGGGGTTGGGTGGGGGGTGCCTAGGGTGGGGGGTGCCGTTACAGCCCTCTCATTAATACACTACTTTCGCTCAGTACTGTGCGAATGCCATGATCATCATCTTCAACTTTATTGGGAGAATAATATTTCATACACAACATTACTTATGATTGTTGACAGTATTCTTTAACTTATCAATTATGATTTACTCAGGTGGGTTACCATGGTGAGAAGGTAGTATAAATGTGTGAATATCACCACATATTATTCAGCTAAATTTCAGTGTGTCATATACAGGGTGATCTTGTCGGTTCAACAAGGCTTCAGGTCAGATACTTGTTAATTGATTGTTTTTTTTGTAAATATATGTAAATATCTGGGTGAATATAATTTCTATACATTCCCCCTCTTCCTGAGTTGGTTAACATTGGTTTGACATATGAAAATTTCAATATATATAATTTTTTTTTGTATTGTAAAGAACTTTTCAAATTTTAACAGATCTTGTTTTCTTGACTTGGACAAGGTCAAATATCCTAAGTACTTCAAGTCAAGTGGCGCCTGGGTAAGTTTTCCTCTCCTTTTTTCCGGAAACTTATGAATTTAAATAAATTACATGATGAATTGTTAACCCCGACCTCCATGCTCTCTAGACAACAACGCTAACGGTGCAGTGACTTTTCAATTTTCAATAGAAAGTTGAAAACGTTACAATATAAATGTTGAATTTTCACATTGACGTTTCCGAAGCGAATTTGCTGAAATGCTTGTCTTCAGATTGTGAATGTGTGGATGCGAAGTTTCGCCTGGAAACGTTCCACCCCGCGTAACAATCAACGAATTACGGTTGCCTAAGAGGTCCAAATCCTCAGAACTCAGATACTGGTTGTTAGGTATGCAAAGGAGTGATTCGCTATATCAGTGAAAATCATTGTGTGGTCCATCATACATTCATTCTGGTCCTGAATATCATTTTTTCTGATTTCATAGATATATTTTCCTCTTGCAGATATTATTTACTCGAATAAAATGTTCTTGGAGTTGAAAATCTCTAACTCTTTCTTGGTCAACGGACGTCTACTAATGTTTTTTCTGAAAGAACGGGAATTACATACCTTTTGGTACCTATCTATACCACAATGAAAACCGAGTGGTACATATTTGTACAATATTGAAATTATTTCTATGTAATCAACTATTACATACCTTCTAAACCACACGTTTTCGCAAAGTTCATATGACAGAACAATCACAAATATTTTTCAAAGAATCATTAAAATTTCACGAAATATACACAGTCCCATGAGACATGTTTCTTTTTAAGAATGATAATAATTATCGAATTCAATTTTGCGAACATTCACGCGTCTTGTCGATGCGTAAGCTCTTAAATATTGGATTGGTGTATTTTCTGCTTGCTTGAAACGAATAAAGTGACTCAGAATTTCTGTAGAGTCTGTGGTATATATTATGTGTACCGTTCGCACATTTACAATCCCTCCTATGTGACACCGATTGCTCGTCGCTACCAGATAGGAATTGTAGTGCAGCAGAATGCACTCCAATCCCTCATCGGCCAAAGCGATCACTTGCGTGCCAGCTGGGTAGGTACATATTCGTACAGTGCAAAAATAGTCATTTCGAAAAAGGGGGTTCACCAAACACAAATTAACTCACTGCTTTTAATTTGTAACAAAACTAAAACTTTTACTTATACATTATTGTACAAACACAAATTAACTTATAGCCTTTAGTTTGTAACAGAAATAAAAATTCTACTTATATATTTTAAAAACAAGTCCGTTAAAAAAATCAATGATGACTTGAGTTGGGCTGATTTTTAAGAACATTCATCATGAAAGACCTTTTTCTTTTCGGCCTTTTCTTGTGAATTCCCTCCAACAACGATGGCCTGCCTGCGTGGATTGCTCTAACGCCAGCTTTTAAAGCTTTATCAGTTCGACGAGCAATTGACGTAGGTTGCACTTTAATTCGTGTTGACGTGTTCCGTGACTTGAAAGAAGACTTATACATATTCAAAAACTTTTCTGTATTATCAACGTTAATCATCACGGTATTAATTTGGGACAGTTTCGTCAACATAAATTTTGAACTGTTTTTTTCGGCAACAGCAAATGTTCTTTCTAAGTTTGCCTTGAATTTCTGCAGTTCTAATTGATATTCTTCAAGATATTCGCTATCTTCATTTTCTGAAGGTTGGATGATTTGTGGGTCACTACTATTTTCATCTTCATTTCTCATTGGCTCATTAAACTTTTGCGACAAGATACTATTTCCTTCGGTGGATGATAGTGTAATATCAATATTTTTATCCATACCCGCAAAAAAAGTATTGTCAATAACGCTTCCTAGAGCCAAAGTTGCCAATTCTGCACGATCTTGGTAGGAGAGTTGAGGTGTGTGAAATAAATGTATTCCACTATTGTACACGGCACATAAGTGTTTAAAAAATTTACCTCCAGCTCCATGAGGACAGTTGCATTGCTCTATATCTGTATAAACTGTGTACAAATAGTTTGGATCTATTGAAGACGTAACGTGATATTCCGATTCAGAAATCTGGGTTACTTTTAAATCTGCCGCTTTGTGAAAAAACTTTTTGAAATAAATTTGCAGCTTCATGTCTCTAAAGTTGGAATAATTTATTAATTTTTGTTTGTAAAACTGCTCTAGAGAAGTAGTAACAAAGTCCAGTAAGGAAACCGCGTTAAACGCCTTGCATCTCTTAAGAACAAGATCCTTAAATATTCGGATTGATGACTCAACTATATTGTTCGTGTTATGGCCTCTTGTCTGCAAATGTATGCGAAATTAGTGACACCACTCAGATTTTCTTGTCCATAACTCGTTAAAATAGGTTGTAAAATTTGGATATTTTTGTGCTACTGAGTCATTACATAATTCCTCTTTGAATAAATTGCAGTCCACTTCACTCGGAGCATATAGAACATTACGAAAAAGCAGCATGAGCGGTTTACGATCTTCGTTCTTAATTCCATGTCTGTGGTCCCAAAGCCAACGCCAAACAGCTTGTAGAACATGGAAACTGCACAATAGCCGATCTGATTGAGGAAATACTGTTTTCAGAGCATTTCGCTCCGCTGTGCTGTCATCTGTCATGAAGACAGCTGGGAATCCGTTACCTAAAAAAGCCTCTTCTCCTAGAACCGTCTTCAAATATTGGAAAATCAGTTCGTAATTTTCTTGGGTTTGATTTGAATGAATTGCACAGCCAAGTGGAACGCCACCAGTTTTGCTGGATGCAAAAAAAAAAAGTTACTGAATTTCCTCCTTGATCACAAGACGCACTCGAGTCTAAAAAAACTATCTCCCTGGAGAAATGCAGCTTATGAGCCCTAAGCATCAGCGGTGTTATAACAACGGAAACAAAATGGATTTTCGCATAAAAGTATTCGTGTGCCTTCCTTATCAAGTAACAATTGCCTATCTTTTATTTTTTGAAATATGCTAGTGTTGGTCCTGTCCCCATAGTTTTGTTTTCTGCAACAAATTATTGAGAATATTCAGTGTGTCCCATGGAAGAAATTTTAACAGCGTATTCTACGTTCTTTATACATTGGTTTTTATTTTTTTACGCGAAAACTGTGCATCGTCCGAAAGAAAGTCAAGAAATTTGACAAAAATCAATAAAACTTGAAAAGCATTTTGTCAATTGTACCCCCCTTTAGCATCTACACGGATAAAATGTTTTGTTGCACCAACAAAATAATTTTGGTCATTTTTATTTTGTTAATTTTGTTAAATCAAATACATTCCAAATAAGCGACTTATTTGAAAGACAAAATAATTTGATTGAAATATTTGCATACTAGAACAAAAGTTCCATTTCATTCAATAACATTTATAGTTGACATAAAACAAATCATTGTTCAATCAATCATATGCATTTTGTTCATTTGACAAAATTAAATTGATTTCGACAAAGATTTAACTAAATACAACATCATATTTTGTTGATTCAACAATCATTTCATTGTACAAGCAATCACAGGTTTTTTTCTATGCGACAAAATTGAATTGATTATGACATTATATTTTGTTGATTCAACACATCATTATCAAGAAATATGTTGTCATTTCGAACAGATTTTTTCGTTGAACAGAACCCAAAGATGCATCAAATCAAACAAATATTTTGTTGAATGATTATTCAGTTGCATTTTCGTCACTAGGTGGCGTTTCTTCCAACCTTCCTGCGTTCGCCTCCTGAATCAACTGAGGAAATTAATCTCTAATAGGAAATTAATCTCTAATTTCTCTTAGTTTTGAAATTCAGTTATTGGAAAATTTCATTAATATTATTCAACAAAATATTTTGGTAATTCCAAATATCATTTTGTTGATCGAATGAATTGTTTCATTAAATGAAGAAACTATTTTGTCATATTCATAATATATATTGTTATTTCAACATATTCACTTTCTGAAAAACTGAAAATTTTGTCACTTGAATGAAATTATATGATAATTTCAATCAACAGAATCTGTTCATTAGAGCAGATATTGTATTATAGGAACAAAATAGTCTTTGTTAATTCAACCAATTCCTGCTGTTGATTTGAATCATTGATGAGTTACATCAAATGAATTTTAAGTTGAGAACTGACGAAATAATTTTGTTGCGGTGACAAAATATTTTGTCGTGGATATATGATACTCAGATTTTGTTGAATTTACAAAAATGTTGTAGTTTCAAACAATAGTACATTGTTTACCGGGTAGGAAAAGCTTAACATTCCTGGGCGACTGTGAAGATTGCTAGTCGAGGCGCAAGCCGAGACTTAGCAACACAGAGTCCAGGAATGTGGCTTTTCCTACGAGGTAAACATACTATTTTTCCGCAAATCGTTAAAAATTCGACAGGTATTGATTGATTTAAAAAAAAAACGCGATAATTCTATTCCCAAATAAATAGTGCTTTGAAATTCCTGATAAAATTACTTGGGTCACTATGGAAACGTATTGAGGTTGAATTGTCAAACTTGACGCTTATAAATTTAATTGCTGGTGTTTTCGAAAGTAAAATGATAAGTGATGATGAAATTTCCATTCCTGGGACTCCTCCAGAGCTGGTTGAGGCAGTGAATGTTTTCAAAATATAAATTAATTCCTTATAAGCAATGTGTTTTCAATCATTTATGTAGAACACTAACAACTTTACGGAAATATCATTTCCTCACAGTAAGGAAATGACATTTCCTTACAGTAAGGAAGTCCTGACTTTTTCGTCAAGAAATTTTGACAGGAATGTCAAAATTTCCTAGCGATTTGCGGAAAATGTTTCTTTCTGTGTCTTGCCTAAGTGGGTTAAGATTAAAATCTTTATACATACAAGTGAAGTTAAATACAAGCATGTTACTAAATTAAATGTAACCTACCTCCATTCTGTGTACAAATGATAGATTGTACGATCCAACGCATTATTCTGAGCATTAGCAAGAACTTGACATATACCTTCTGATGGAGTGATAGCCATCAAGGTAGACTTATGAAACTCTTTTGCTTCACTAGGTGAAAGTCCTTCGTCAAAATATTTTATAAATTTTTCTCTTGTATCCTTACTGATTCGCAAAAAGCTATACGCTTCTGCAACGACAACTCTGTGGGTATGTACGTAATTCATCTGAAAAGAAACATCAATATGTCCCTACCGATATCAGATATTTATCGATTTTACGAATTAAGTCCTACAAAAAAAAACACAGAAACGCGAGGTCAAGTAGTAACGGAGATACCCCACAAATACTTCTAAATAAATGTTACACCCTGTACTTACCTCGATTATTGCATTCAGGCCACTTTTCAAATGTAGGTCTTTGTATCTTGTATCTTTGTTTTCTTTCTTTATTTTGATAACAATTTTTGCACTGCATGACTTATTCCTGTGTCTGTTAGTTTCTATACTCTTTTTGTTTATTTTTTTGATGGTGTTGGCAAACCCAGTCTTTCCGAAAATCCAATTTTGCAATTTTTGGATATGTATATTTAACAATCCAATTCGTAGAAGTGGCCGCTGAAAAGTTCTCGATCCATTTTTTGCAGTTTTCTTCGAAAGCATGTTCAATTCGGGTTCTCAAAATAACTTTTATAGTATCGCTTTCAATGAGGGTAACCCGCTCATCAAAACTTTTTGCAGCGTTTACAACGAACACTTCATCAAAATCATCTGACATTGTAGTTACAATGTGGTTGATCTTACTCCTAACGTGATGAAATTAGTATAGGTACTATGAAATTAGACTGTTTACTTCGCAAACCTCGCGGCACGCACTGCAATACACGTGTTCGTTAATAAATAAATACATTTCGCCCCCGCGCGGGCATTTCGAAACCTTTTTTGTCATGGCCGAGGAGGGATCGGAGTGAATTTTGCTGCACTGCAATTCCTAACTGGTTGCGACGAGCAATCCGTGTCACATAGGAGGGATTGTAAATGTGCGTACCGTTCTAACTGAAAGAGGGAGTGATTTGGGGGCAGAAAGTGCAATTTTTTTTTTGGTCGCATGAAAGGCAATATCCCTATTTTTTATAACTTGGAAGTTCTTGAGAATTCTTCCCTAGGCAAAGAACATAGACAACCAAGTTTTGGTAGAGTTGTTTGACAAATATCGAGGTAGACTACGAATAGGTGTGCTGTACTAAGCTTATTCTCGAGTTCGTCTGTCTGGTATTGCTAGTGATAGAATGATAACCGAACTTTCGAAAAACATCTTTCGTAACAGTTTTTATAAACAAGTGAGAGGTCGCTGTTGTTCAAATGATGTCGAGGTGTAAGTGAGTGTGGCATCACCAACTAGGTGAATTATTTTGATGCTTACATATCTACTATATAAATTCCTTTATTAACAAATATACAACATTCAACAAATCAGCAACTTCCCCAACATATTTTTATTTTCATTAAATCAGGTGACCTTGGACCATGGCCGTCACCAGATGAAGAAAGGATATAGGACGGACAAAACTCGAAGATAAAATTGGATAACCTAAGTACGATTGAAAACTGAGTGTGAATACTCAAAGCTGATATTAATCTGTGTAATTCTCGAAATGTCATCTCCAACCATTCAGAACTTAATGATTCATTCCCAATGATATTTACCATTACCAATTGTCAAAACTGAAACCACTAGTTCCTAAACAATACTTGATCATCGCATTTTCGAGTTTGTCCGAAAAAGTAGTGTACTTAACAAGTGCAAAAACTGATACTTTTCGCA